ACACTCACTTGAGAATCCTCAGCCTGTGGAGTGCACAGAGAAAGCCAGGACAAGCTCAGGTGTCATCTACGTACCCTGGCCCAAGATCTCCCAGCAAGCCAACCCAGAAAGAAAATGAGTGCTGGACAGGTACCCTGGCCCCAGTGTGGGGAGCACAGGACAGCAAACAGTGGTGGCCTGAGGCCAGGCAGGCCAGATGGGAGCCCCACTCACCCCTCCCTTGCTATGTGTGACCTTGGGCCAATGATTCTGCCTCTGGGTCGCGGCACCCTCCATTGTAAACTGGGGACAAGGCACCCACCTTCCAGAGGTGCTAAGAAGATCCAATCGGGTCTCCTAATGACTCCTGGCAGGTTTGAGGAGTCATGGTTGGTGGCACCTTTCACCTCTCCTCCCTCTTCTAGGGATCTCCAGGCTAGAGTTGGGAGCATTCAAGGACCAAAAGAATATGGGATCCTGCTCCTTTATTTTTAGGGGAGCAAGTAGCATGAAAAATTCACCCCTTGCCCTCCCTTTCCCAGCCAAAGCAGGGTTGGAAAGCCAAATCCATAATCCCCATCACTAGAACTCAGAGCCCTCGAGGAGTCCTGAGCGGTGAAGTGCTCGGCTGCTAACCAAAGGGTTGGTGGTGCAAACCCACCTCGAACTTGGACAGGACAAAGCCCTGGGAACCCATTCCTGTAAGGATTAAAACAACAACAACCAAACACGCTGCTATCGAGGTGATGCTGACTCAGAGAGACCCGATCGGGCAGGATGGAACTGCCCGTGAGCTTCCGAGGAGTTTCTACGGGAGGACAACGCCGGGTGCAGACCAGATGGAACTTCTCACCTTTCAGATCACAGTCCAGCACATAAGGACCGCACCACCAGGGCCCTCGGGACAGTTTTCCTCTGTCATGTTGCTGTGGGCTGACAAGGGACTCCTTGGCTCCCAACAACATGACTACCTTGCTGCTCTTCACGCCGAATGGAAGGAGCAAGAAGGCCACTGGTACTGCGTGGCCTGGCTTAAAGGGGCGCAGGGAGCTGGTCCACAGTCCCTCTGACACAGCGCATAGGATTCGGTTGTTCCAGAAAAGAAGTCAAATGGGGTTTAAATGGAGAGAAAATGTTTTGAGAAACGATGTACAGATGCGCTTTACACAATTGATGTGTGTATGGATTGGGATAACAGTTGTATGAGCCCCTAATAAAATGTTAAAAAAGAAAAATAAATAAATAAAAAATTTAAAAAAAAGATTAACAGGCTCAGAAAAAAAAAAAAAAAAAGTCAAATGGACCAGAGACATCAGGGACTGAGACTAAGAGGGGCCGATTCATTGGTTCAAGGACACGGTAGACTCCAGAGCCAGGGGGGGCTCCTGGTCATGTGATTTCTGGTTTCTGACTTGGAGGCCCATTAGGCTCTGGTATGCTAAAGGAAACCCATTCATCTATCCACCCACCCATCCTATCGCTCATCCATTCCTTCCTCCCTCCCTTCTCTCCTTCCTTCGGCCACCTACGTACCCTGCCATCCATGTATCCATCCATACCATCTTTCCATCTATCCTTCCATGTAGCTCTCTTCCATCCATCCATCCTTCCATCCATCTTCTTTTCCATTCATCCATCTTCCCATCCAGTGTTGGCATCAGGCACTTTCCTGTGGCAGGCACTATGCTGAGCGCTGACGAGGCAGTCCCTGGCTCTTCCCATCTATAGCTTCCCATCATCCAGAGCAAGGGTCTTCCAAAGCACAGAGCTCTCAGTAGGTGCACAGAAGTGTCTGATTGATGACTATTGGCTCGCTCATCTTCATTGGCGCCCCCACCTTTGTGACTGAGGTACCGGTGAGTTTGAGAACATTCACGAAGATACAGACTCTCTGTTTGTCTTACACCCTCCTCTCCACGCGTCATTCCCACCAAACTTGATTCACAGCACCACCTCTGAGCTACTTACTGCTGAGCAGCGGGCATGGAGATGCGATGCCTGAGCCTCGGTCTCCTCCTCTGTAAAATGGGACACATGCTATTCGACTTTCACGCGACCTCCGTGAACACATCAGGGCAGAGAAAGCGAGTGAGAAAGAGGGAGAAGTGGACAGTTGCATGGGGGGGATGGGGGGGGTGAGTGAAAGTTCTAGAAAATACGTTATGGATCTAGAGGTCTTTGAGGTGTGACTTGAACAATCGACTGAAAGGACAAGGATGTGGAGGGTGCAAAGGAAAATAAGTGACGGATGATTCGCTCTCCAGCTCAGTGCCCTCTCACCCCTGTCTTCTATGATGCAACCTTAGATTAATTTATGGATTTGTGGCATCACATGTCATCCCAGCCAATCCCAACCCACATTCCTCTCTCCATGGTGCACCTAACAGCTACAAAGGGCTGTTGTAACCTTAATTGCTGGCTAAGTATTTTGAAATCTTTAGATTTAAAGCTCAGTGAGGTCCCCGGTGTTATCCTGCTGTTTGCCTGAGGACTTATTCTGAACCCCATCTGGCTTCCTTGGGCCAGAAACACTCTACAGTGGGTATGCTCTCAGGCCTGGTCCAGGAACTTGGGGATGGGGATGGAAGGGGGCGGGGGATGAAGGGTCCTATTCTTCAGATAAGGAACCCTGGCTGGGCATTGGTTAAGCGTTCAGCTGCTAACCCAATGGACAATGATTTGAAACCTTCAGCCTCTCTGTGGAAGGAGGATGTGAGAATTTACAGCTTCCCTGTAAAGATGTACAGCCTTAGAAAATCGCTATAGGGCAAGTCCACTGTACCCTGTAGGGCAGGTCTACTCGGTGCTATAGGGTTGCTTTAAGTCGGAGCCAACGGGTTTGGGTTGGGGGTTGTGCTCTGGGATAAGAAAGCTGGTGGTACCATTGAGTTAAGTGCTGGACTCCTATCTAAAAGATTGAAAGCCACCAGCCCTCCAAGGGAGAATGAGGTCGCCTGCTCCGGTCCACCCTATGGGGGGGTGGGGGTCAGTTCTGCTCTGTCCAAGAGGGTTACAAGGAGTCAGAATCAACCCCACAGGGTGGGTTGGATTTTACCCCAGTGGCCCCCACCCCCGCCCTTGCTAGCCCCTAAGCCTCTCCAGGCATTTGGCCCCTCCCACGCTGCTACGGTTGTTTGTCCATCTCAAGTTCCTGGGTTCCAGAGGCCTGAGCTGTCCTTTCTTCAGGGTCATAAATCTGTTTCCCGGGCAATCTCACCTGGAAAAGGGCAGGTGTACCATCCATGACTCTGTTACATGGGAACCCAGAGCTGACAGGTTAGCCCGTGTTCTGAATTTGTACATTGACAGTGAAGTCTATCTCACGGCCGTTACCCTGGTGGGGGGCCAGTAGGGACTGAAGAAGGCACGGGGGCATGCTGCCAATGCTATTTGTCTTCTTGATCCAGCTACTCATTGTGCTCAGTTTGTGGAAACACACTGAGCTAGAACACAGCAGCGGGCACAAATGGTTTGCACTCAGCTGCTAACCGAAAGGTTGGCGGTTCAAACCCTCCCCGGCAGGTGCAGCAAAGGAGAGGTCTGGCGATCACAGGCAGGGAAGCCCTCCTGGAGGACAGGTCTGGCCCACAAGGCATGGAGTGGCCATGAGTCATAACCAACTTAAAGGCAACCGGGGTTTTCTGCCCTGTTACCCTTCTTTAAGAAAAACTTCAGCCCACACATTTCATTTAGAACAAAAGCAATGCGGTAGCAGAGCTATAAAAGGAACTAGACCCAAGCAAGCCCTTTCTCTTCTTCCACCTTTGCGATTCAAATGGCTACTCCTGCGCTTCTCCCGTCCGCCCCTAAAACAACAAAACTCACCGCCACAAGGGCTACTGGTTCAAGTCTCTTCGGACTCACGGAGGCCCTGGAGAGCCAGGTAGAACTGCCCCTGTGGGTTTCCAGACTGTAACCCTTCACAGGAATAGCCCCATCTTTCTCCCTCGGAGCGGCTGGTGGTTTCGAACTGCTGGGTCCGATCTTGTGGTTAGCAGCCCAACTAACCACTACACTATGAGGGCTCCTCAATGCTTACCTTTCCAAGCCCAACGTGGCCATACCGGCCCCATAGGGGAGGGCAGAACTGCTCGTGTGAGTTTCCAGGACTAAATTATCAGCCTAAAAAGCCCTTTCTCCAAGGAGTGGCTGGTAGTTTCAAACTGTTGACCTTGCATTTAGCAGGCCAATGTGTGATCGCTATACCACCAGGGCTCCAATCCCTTACAGCAGTGGTTCTCAACCTTCCTCATGCTGCGACCCTTTCACAGTTCCTCATGTGGTGGTGACCCCCCAACCATAAAATGGTTTTTGTTGCTACTTCATCACTGTCATTTTGCTAGTTATGAATCAGGCGACCCCAGTGAAAGGGTCGTTCGACAACAAAGGAGACTCAACCCACAGGCTGAGAACCGCTGCCTTATAGGATGTCCAAAAAAAAAGGAAATGCTTTGATTAGCCATGTGAATTAGGTCTAATGTAGGGGCAGGGGCAGGTGGCAGGAATGACGTTGAGGGACCGATGGGAACCTCAGCAATGACTCCCAAACCCGTGGGATTCACAAGTGCTTATGACAGTCCTCACACTCCCAAAGGCCCCTGCCCTAACAAAAGAAACAAAAACTAGAGGGATTCTCACAAGTCAAGGCGTATTTATGCCTGTTCCTCTTCAAACTTCCCCCATCCTCAAGTTCAGCCCATGGCTCCCACCAAGGTGGCTTCACTGTCATGACGGTCTTGTCCACTTGGAATGACAAAGGTCAGTGGGGCCAAACTCACAAAGGGATTCACCAAGTTCATGGGAAAATACCATTCTCTTTCCGTCCATTCTCCCAGGAACCTTTCAAAGCTCCAAGGCCATGTATTGACCATGTTGACGTCTCTTTTTTGTCTCCCCAGTAAGTCTCCATTTCCAGAGGGAGGTGGGGAGGGCAGAGACCTCCTTGCCCCCAGGCCTCAGCCCCCTCAGGGAACTTGCTAAGGCTAAGGGAGCAGCACCTGTGAAGAAAGTCACCACGCAGGTTTACGAAACCAGATTTATTAAAATCTCTCTACAGGTCGGATGACCGCTGCATCAGTGATATGTACACATGTACAGAAGGGCCTAGTGTTTCTAGCTTTCCGGGCAGAAGTCCCTGCCAGCTCGGTCCTCAGCGGGTAATGTATCACAGATACGAAGGTCGCGCCACCACGAGAGCCCTAGCACAGCCGAGCCTAGACCTCCCTGTCCTCGAGGCCGCTGCTCGGTCAAGTCGTATTGCCAATAGTCATTCACATTTCACGTGGTTTGAGACACGCAGGTTATTCACACACACACACACACACACGCACACAATAAGCCTCGGAGCTCACACAACAGATGACGTCGGACAAAGGTATAAAGGGGGGTGGGGATCTGTACAGAGTACACAGTACGTGAGGTATACACAGCATTCCCACAATGCAGGTTAGTAGTTTCGCCTCGGCGTTGCCCTCCCTGGAAGACCGCCGCCTGGTTTTGTGTCTTTTCCTGAAAAAAAAAAACCAGTATGTTTTGCTTACCCGTTTAACCACCTGACTTCTGCTCATCCCAAGACACTTTCTGGATATCTCACCTGTCCCTGTCCTTTTGTTTTTAATGCGCGTTAGACTGTCTCCAGAAAAACGCTATCTTTGTGTAGGTAGTGAGGTCCCGGTCTCTGGAAGCATTCAAGCAGGGATGGCTTCCCATCTTAGAACTCGGGGTGGGGTAGGGTGGGGTGGGTGGTGGCTTTGCCTTGGAGTGTGCAGGAGGAAGGAGGCTGGACTATCCTCGATACTTTCTGAAGTTCCTTCCAACTCCCGAGGTTTGGGGCTTATTGTTTTGGCTCCAGATGGGAAATGCAGGGATGCATCCTAAGCCACTCCTCGTGGGAACTAGTCACCAACCAGCGTGCAAAACCACAGGTACCACACAGCACGCCAGCACCATGCCGGGCAGAGGCACTCCAGAAGTTGGGCCCCAGGCTCGTCCAAGACTATCCAAAACGCAGTCTGGAAGCACTCAGGTGGTTTGTGCGTGCTCTTGGGAGAGGGGCTGGGAAGTCCCCTGAGCGCTCATCTCTAAAGCAAAAGCCCGCCCTGAGATAGTGGCTGGGGAGGAATGGGGCAAGTGCTAATGTATTTGAGGGCACACCCCAGAGATAACCCTTCCAAATGCTCAACTTATTCAAAAGCCTGCAGGCGTTTGGACACCCAACAGCAGTCGGGTTTTCCATACCTAGCTGGCAGCGCCTTCAGCATTAGAGGGGTGCGGGTGGACGTGCCCAATCAAGGAGAAGGTGAAGGAGAAGGCATTAGTGCACACCAAGTCTCAGCAGGAGATGGGGGTGCGCCTGAGACAGTGTGCTCCGAAAAACGGAGCGGAGTCCTTGGTTGAAGTGTGAGTGTGAAGGGAGAGCAAGTTAAAACAAAACAAAAACTCTCCAATCAGGAAAACGAGGCAGCCCAAGCCTAGCTACCCACGAGGTGTTCGAAGACAGGAGGTTAACAGTTTGTCCGCCCCCCCCTGGTACAATATGGTGATCACCCCACATGCCACTGTGGGACTCACTTCCTTGCCTGTTCAAGTTAATTTCACGCCACCACGTGCCATAGGCTGCCCACACGCTCTACCAACCTACAAGATACGCCACCCCCAGACTGACAAAAGGGTAGTCGCCAGGGTTTGCCCGGGAAACATCCGTCCAGGTCAGCCAGAGTCTCTGCTGCTCAACTCCATAAAGTCACTGGTCGTGGGGACCAAGGAGAAGGGATGCCACGTGGGGCTCAGCAGCCACATTCTCGACGCAGTCACGGATCTGGCTGGCACCACGCCGAAGGAAGGACTGTTTGTCTTTCGAAATGGAAATGCCATGTGTGAGAAGGATGAGGTTTCGGAGGTGTGAGGCTTAGCAGAAGAAAAAGCTCATGTCAGTGTCCTCCCGGCACTCCGGGACCATCTGGTCTGCCGCGCCCGTTTCTGAGTCGCTGCAGCCAGGTTCCCCGATGGACTCGAACCAGGGGTGGAGCAAGATCTCAGGGGCGGCCAGTCTCTCGGCAGGCTCTCGTCTCAAGAGGCTGCGGATGAGACACCTGGCTTTGGGGGAGACGTGGTCGGGGATGCAGAACTGTCCACGGCGGATTTTGGAGAAGAGGGCGCTGGGCTCTGAGTCATGGAAAGGGTATCGTCCAACCAAAAGGGTGTACAGCATGACCCCAAGGCTCCAGACATCCGCGGCCTTGCCCGAGTAGGTTCCGGTTGTGTTCAGGATCTCGGGGCTCACGTAGGCTGGGCAGCCATGCTTGTCTGACAGAGCATCATCTTCCCCCTTGATGATGTGCGTGTCTTCGAGACTTTCCAATCGGAGCTGGGTTCTGCCAGACGGAGAGAACGAGAGAAGGGTCAGGCCAGGACTTACCAACCTGCTGCTATGAACTACAAGGCCGGCCCAAACCCGGCCCTCAGAACAGAGGTCCAGTAACGCGCCTGGGACACATGATGCTGGGGCCCCGGGGAGGGACCCTCAGAGGGCTTATGCCACTTGCCATGTTCACATTGAGGAACCAGGAGCGTGTCCCAGGGGCGTGTAGATGGACCTCGCCTGGTGGCAAAAGCCCCCAGAGCAGAAAAGTCCCTCCGCCTAAACAGTCTACAGGCACACTGTGAGCCAGACCACATCCATCCGGATCCACAGACACACAGAGAGGGGTCTGGAGCCACTTGGGCCCAGGAGGCTAGCGAGGATAACGCTGATGGGAAACCTACAAACGCCAAACACCCTCACTGCCATCGAGTCAGTGCCAACTCATGGTGGCCCTGTAGGACAGGACAAAATTGTCCTTGTGGGCTTCCATCCGAGAGACTAACTCCTTCCGGGGGAGTAGACAATCTCATTGCATCTCTTAGTGGATGAGTTCACAAACAGTGTCTTGCCACAATGCAGACGGTGATGAATTTGTAGGAAACAGGGCCCCCCCCCAAATGTCTACCCAGATACACGCACACATGGCCCTACAAGTTAGAGCTGAAAAACTTCTCATCCGAGGCTCTCTTAGGAAGCTGCAGGGACACCCTTATTCAGATCCAGCCACCCAAGTCTCCCAAACTAAAACCAGACTCACTGCCACTGAGCCAATGTCAACTCATAGTGACCCTGAAAGTCTCCTGGATCCCCCTCAAAGCTAACCAGGGGATCTTGTAGCCCTCAGTGGCAGCTGGCCTCTGCTGGCTGCTCTGACTGAGCTGTTTCGGTAAAGCCCTTGTGAAGTCAAACATTTGGCACACCCCCAATGGGTCGATTCCTTTTCCTCTCAGGGTCTGGGTTTTGGTGTTCCTTTTTTTTTTTTCTTTCTTCCTGCCTTCCTGTTCCCTGGAGTGTAGTATACATGTGCTAACTTCGGTATGTCCTCAGCATGACCTCCCTGTCGTTATGTAAAATACCCATTGGTTCTGTAAACGGAAAATATGACTCAACCCAGGCCGGCTGCCCCTGATTGGCTGCTGTAGTACTAAAACCCTGCACCTGTGCTTGTTACCCGAATCGCGTCAGCCTGCCATTGCTTAACCCTCCGGTTGCCAAACCCCATGCCCATGACATTCGCCTGTGCAATTCGGGATTTCAAAAGCCAGCCAGGAGGTGTGCAAGGTATGTTTCAGAAAGCCCATCACCCTATCGCAGGCCCATCTGCCAGGAACTGAGCCCTGTTTCATTGCAAACAACTCGCTCTTCTGTGCTAATCCGAATGTTTCAACCAAGGCCACAAGGTCAGTACAAGGTCATGCTCTATGGCCACTCAGTGCTGGGCTTTCTCATAAGGATCTGGAGGTTAAGGTAAAAAGGACAGGGCAGCATCACACTTCCACCAAAGGAAGGCTCCTCACTAGGATGCGGGCCGCCTCTGACACTCAGGTTGAGTCTCCGTGCTGCGGCTTCCTGAGTTATCTGAACAGTCAGAAACCTCAACCCAGTGCCTCACCCATCAAGCTCATCTCATCCTTCCTGATCTATATTTAGCCATTGGCCCTGGCCACTTTCCATTTATTATTCAATGTGGCCATTTTCTGAGGATGCAGCCCAACAGGATATCTAAACACCCACCAGAGCATGTGAAGAAGCCCCGGGGGTCTCCGCCCGAACTGACTTCAGGGGAGGAGAGGGTGGGAGTCTCCAAATACAAGAGGCCAAGTTACTAGCTGCCTGACAACACCTTCTAGGCATTACCTACCTCCCTTCCTAGTTACTTACCTGCCTACCTACCTACCAACCAACCTACCAACCAGAACACGCCGCCGAAACAAAGCTCTGTGAACTTCCTCTAGGAGTCAATATTGGGAAAGACCGGTGACATTTACACCCCAGCAGAACTGGCCTTTCTGACCACAATGGAGCCTGAACCTGGAAGCAGGGAAGGCAGACCGTGGACACGTGGCCTCCTGCAGCTGCTGCAGCAGAGCAGTGTCCCCAGGCAATATTCAAGAGAACACAGGGGAAACCAACCTTGGCCTGGATTCCTCAGGAGCAGGACTTCTACTTGCTAAATGGGAGCCAATTCAGCCCCTTAGTTTTGTTCTGAACCAACACACTGCCCCTAACTGGCTCAACCTGCACCCGCATCGCGGCTCCAACGGGCTGCAGGAAGAGTTGCAACTGCCCTCACCTCTCCTCCGTGGAGAAGACGAATTTCCTAAGTTTCAGGTCCCCCAGCACAATGGCCGACTGGTGACAGTGGGCAACGGCGCAGACGATCTGCTTGAAAAGCCGGGCAGCTTCCTCTTCCCGCAGCCTTTTCCGGCTGCGCACGTAGGAGTGCATGTCCCCAAAGTCCTTCTCGAAGAAGACGTAAGCCTTGGTGTCTCCGAGGATCACTTCCACGATGCCGGTGATGTTTCTGTGTGAGGGCAGCTGGATGTAAGGGCGGATCTTGTCCTGGTAGTGTTTGATGGGAAACACCTGCAGAGAGAGGCAGGCGGTTAAGGAGACTGGAAGCAGAGCCCGCCTTCCCCGTCCAGGGCAGAGGTTTCCAATCTTTGCTGTTGGTTGACTACAGGAAGACTCCATTCCTTGCACACCCCTTCCTTCTCTCTACGACCCACTCCTCCCACCCCCTGGCCCCCCAATGCATCCCTAGCTACCCCTACCACAGTGACCAGCAGCCACTGGCTATCAAGCCGACCCCAGCTCAATGTGACCCCCAACTTAAAGCCGTCTCATGGATGCCAGATCAGAGTAGAACTGGACTCCATAGGGTTGTCATGGCTGATTCCCAGCAGCATCTTGCCAGATCTTTCTTCCGAGGCACCTCAGTTAACAAGAACCTCCAACCTTTCCATCAGCAGTCAAGCACTTAACCATTTGCACCGCCTGGTAACCCCCAGCTAGTTAACATCCCAAGGGCTCCCCTCTTCCTAGGAGAGGTTTGAAAGGAGCATCATCTCCGCAGGTTCTCATCTTCCACCAAACCCTCAGCCCCTGAGAGCAAGCCTTCCACCCTCTGTGTCCCCTGGTTTGCAGGCAGTGCTGCTAAAGTGAATGGAAGGCACTTCTCCTGGGGTCCCCCACCCCCACCCAGGAGCAGAACCCAGTCCCCTAGAAAGACACATTCCTCCCACAGACCCAAAGAGCTCAGCACAAAGGGCCCAGAATGTGGTGACGCTGTAGCCTCTGGGGAAGCTGGGGCTGGAGAACAGGCAGCTGGGTCATCAGTCTGCAGGAAGGGAGCCTGTGACCATGGGGCCCAAAGCCACCAGCCCACAGTCTGACTCAGGTAGAAGTCTCCCAGTGATCCTGTGAATGGGATGTTTGTTTGTTTGTTTGTTTATTCCCCACCCCACAGGAAATGGGGTAGTAAGTCCTGAAGAAGCAGCTGGGCTCCTCAAGTCCCTTTTGTTTGGTCGGGTTACTCATATTCTAGACTCAACTGGAAACGGTGACACACGAGTTGTCACCATCTGGATTCAGCTATTATCTGCTCAGAGGAACTGAAGGCGTTGCACAATAGCGGAGACCCACCCCACCTCCGAGGCCTGGCTGCTGCACCACCAGCCAGAGGAATCCCTCGGACGCCCATTCCTCTCGGCCCACCCGTGGGCCCAAACACACATCCTCTCCCCAAAAGCGCGCAGAGCCTCTGCTACCCACAAAAACACGGTTTTTGTAGTGCCCTCTTTAAACTGGATTGGAGGGTGCTTTCGAAAGGCTTCACTCCGCTTGGGCAGTAGATGGCAGCAGCAAGCCCAGGGATTGGGGGAGTCAGGTGAGTTGGAGAAAACCCGGAGTGACTTTAACTGGGGTGACCCCCTCTTTCGGGTGAAAGGAAAGGATCAGGCCGGGAGGGGGCTCTCAAGAGTGTCGGTGAGGAGTAGGCGGGCTGTCTAGCTCGCAAAGGACGGGCAGCCGGAATGGCCTGCGCCCGAGGGCATTGGTGGAGGGCGCCGGGAGCCGGCTTCTAACTCCAGCTCCAGGACCGGGGATCCCTTCTTACAGATGTAAATCGCCGGCCGGGAAATACGGGAGTGAACGGAAGTAAGAGTTCCCGGCCGGCGTGGGCTTCCCAACATTCCTCCTCCCGGCAGATCCGCCCCCACCCCCACCGCGCCCTGCCGGTGGAAGCCCCTAGCAGACTGCTCCCCCACCCCCGAGGGAGGGCCCAGAGGGTCTGGGCGGCATTTGCGTCCCAGCGTGGGGCAAGCAAGAAAGCCCCAGTCGGGAGCTCACCCTGCTCCACCCGCAGCTGAAACCCCGTGCCTGGAACCCCGGCCAGCTGCTCCGAGCTCCGAGGAGGCACCCCCAGCCGGCTTCTCTCCAGGACTGGGCGGCGGGGGCGGGGTGGGGGCAGGAGAATGAGAGAGGGGAATGGCACGGCTCTGGAATCCAGTGCAATTCCACAACTTATATGGAACTCCACGCGCTCGGCTGAGCGCCAAGGCAAGGAAAAGAGAGATTCAGCAAGTGAAGCCTGCACTTCCTCTTCGCCGCTGAGCCCCCACCCGGTACCACGAACCCCCCAGCACCCTCCCCCCAAAGGGTGACTCGATCAAATGTCGCCTTACTGGATTCGACCTACTTATTCGCCCTGTCCCAAGCGCTGGTGGTTCCTGAGATGCCCCAGTCCCTCGGCCCGCCCTGAGTCCCCCAGCCCCCGCCGGCTCCCGAGCCCTAAGCGCCTACCTTGCAGCGCAGCTCGCGGCCCGTGTGGATGCACAGCGCCCGGGACACATGCTCGCGCTCAGCCAGGGGCAGCAGCAGGTAGTCGGCGATGCGGCTGGGCCCCGGTACGCTCCCGGAGCCGCCGCCGGCCCCCGGCGCGGCGGCCGGGGGCTGAGGGCTGCAAGGCGAGCCGGGGGGGCTGAGGTAGTCCGGGGGGCTGGAGCACTCGGAGAGGCGCGGGCACTTGGCCGCCAGGGCCGCCGCGTCGTCCGCCTCCAGCAGGCGCTTGGCCGGGGCGCCGCGGGCGGCCGGGAGCAGCAGGACTCGGCCGCGGGGCTGCGCGGCACCGCTCATGGCCGAGCGCACGGGGCCCGCCCGCATCCCGTCCCGGGCCGAGGCTTTGTGCGCCCGGGAACCCGCGCGGGAAGGCGCTGCAGGCTCGGCGCCGCGACTTCTTCCAGCCCGCGGGACGGAGTTGGCAGTCCTGGGAGGGTTTGGCCTCTACGAGGGGCAGCGCAGGGGTCGCTCTCGGACGCCCGAGGCACGCGAGAACCACGCTGGCCTTGCGTCCGAGAGCCGGCGGCCAGTTCGGGTCGCAGATCCGCTCCGGCTTGGGTGGCTGGCCCGAGGCGGCAGCCGCTATTGTTGCCGCAGCTGCCAACAATCCCGAAGACAGAGGAGGTGGCTGGTGCTCCCAGAAGCCCGAGGCCCGCGGAAAGGTCCTCCTGAGCCGAGCAGACTCCGATCCAATGCACTTTCCCCAGCGAGAAGTCTCGGCACCGAAGCCGGAGCAACTTTTCCGCGGCACTCCGGGTCCTTGCGCGCTCCTAGGTTCCGAGCGTGTGAGCGAGCGCGCCGCGCTGGGAGAGAGTGACTGAGTGTGAGTGAGTGTGTCGCCGCACCGACCCCGGCCAATGCACGCCTCCTTTTCCTCCACCTCCTCCGCCTCCTGGTGACTCACGCTGTATACACACACACACACATACACACACACAGGCCGGGCTGTGTAAACAGTTGGGAAGCCGGGTTGTGCAATGAGGTGGCGGCGACGACTCCGGTCCTGCCACCCGGCGAACAATCACCGGACTGCGGGGGGAGGGTGCGGAGCCGGGGATGCAGGTGGTGCGTCCTGGCCGGCTGGGGCGCGCGCACACGCCCCCTGGGCTGGGCCGGGCTGGAGGAGGCGCGCGCCTTAGGCTGGCAGCCTGCTCAGCGCAGGGAGCTGGAGGAGGGCGCTGGGGAAACGTCCCCGTGACGTCAGGGGGAAGTGGGCGGGCGGGGCGGGGCGCGGAGGGCGAAGCGGCCGCCGATTGGTGCGCGCTCCCCATTCACACCGAGCACAATGGGCTGCGGCGCGAGGCGGGCGCGCGCGCCCAGCTCCGCGGCTCCGACGGCTCCCGCAGCCTCGCGGTTACCCTCCGGCTTCGGGGCTCTCCCCCTCAGCCCACCCCCGGCGCCTCGGGAGCTAGGGTTGGAGCCGTGGGCGCCGCCACGCCCGGCTGCAGCCCGAGGAAGGGGCGGGCTGGCGAAGGTGATGAATTCCAGAATCAGTCATTAACCCCCACGCGGTAGTTCCGGGGAAGACCTGTGCGTGGTAGTGGATGTGGTTTGGGGTGGTTTTTTTCTTCTTCCTTTTCTTGCCCCCTCCCAGCTCTAATCCCCAGCGTCTGTTCACTTCCACAAATAGAACCTTCTGTTGGATGAAATAAAAGCAAACACTGGGCCTTCTGCGCTGCCTCCACCTCCGTGCCCCTCCCGCGCCTGCCGCCCGCCGGGATTGCACGGAAATAGCTTCTCCCCGCTCCCGGGCCGCCCCTTCGCGGTGACTAGCAGAAAGAGTTTCCTGAGCCAGGACCTGTGGGAAACAAAGGATGTGGGGAGCGGGCGGAAGGAGCCCACGTGGCCCCCGCCGGATTCCCGCCCCCTCCTCGGCCTCCACACGCGCCGCCGGGGCTGGCACCTAGGTGCTGGCCGAGGCCCCTGAGTGGGTGGGTGTCCCGGTGGGTGGGTGTCCCGTGCTGCCTGCGCCTGGGTAACCTCGACAGCACAACGTGATTGCGCTGGGTACCAAGCATATGTCAGAGACTGGAAAAGAAAAAAAAAAAACCTGCAAGCAAACAGCATGGAATCTGTGGTCCTTTTTAAGAAAACCAGGTCAGTGCGCAGTCCCCGGACACTCAACATAGATAACGATTGTTAAGAGTCTTGGCGTTTCTGCTAAGGACTCAATTTTCCCAAACCAGGTCGAGCCCCAATATCCTTTCCATATTAATCGCCCATTCATTCTGAATTCCCTCTTTCATCTACTATGGCCAGACGCTAGGGGCTAGAAAAGGAAAATTCTGATGGTACTGTTTTTAACAGCAATTGGGCCAGGCTCTGCTTCAAACACTCACCGAGGCGAATCACTTCATTCTTGTGAGAGCCACTCTTCAATACACAGTGTCCCAGGACCAGAGTAGAACTGTCCTGCAGCGTTTCCTAGGCGGTCATCTTCATGGGAGCAGGTAGCGAGGAGTCCTTTTCTCCCAGGGATCTGCCGCTGGGTGTGAGCTGACCATGCCATGAGAAGACGCTGGCGCTTAGAAAGGTTAAATAGCCCCAAGTACTCAAATATCCGGTTGTGGTGGCATTAGCTGACCTGGCTTTGCACCCAACTCATGGTGACGCTGTGTAGAACGGAACCAAATGCTGACACTTCTTGTTGGAGATCTAACTGTTGTGTCGATAGGGCTGCTTTTCAGAACGTGATCACCGGGCCTTTCTTCCTAGACTACCGTCGCCTGACAGCTCTGCTTACACCTGTTCAGGCACCCTAGCAACAAACCAACCAGCACGGACAGACAGGTGGTGGGTGTGCATAAGGTGCCTTGGGCAGGAATCGAACCTGATTTCAACATGGAAAGCCAGGAGAACCTTTCCATAGGGAACCATGAGTGTCCCCGGGTCATTGTAACTTGGTGGCGTTCGCTGCTGTCCAGTTGGTTCTGACTGACGGTGACGCCATGCCATTTGCGAAATTCTTCCTGTTGAACTGGGGACTGGCCTCCGTCTTCCCGAGGGTGCCATGGCTGAGGCAAACCCTGTTCCTTCCCGAGTCCATCTTCCCTCCAGGGTGTGGTAAGCTCCTGGTGGAGTCTTTCAGAAAGTCCACCAGTGAACGCTTAGCCCCTGCTCTGTGCTGGAGAACCTGCCGTGGCTGGGGGAGCCCTTTGGAGTGAGCCCTGCATCCATTCCATCTATTGCTCACACAACTGTCATTTTTTCTTCTAAGCCTTGAACTTGATCACATCAGGCCTCGGAGTACAGCAGAGCCCCGCAGGTACAGTCCAAACACTACCCTAGAAACCATGGCCTCTGCTTTGCCTGCCCCTACTTCCTTGCCCAGCTCCTCTTACTTGTCTCTCCACCTCCACCTTACCCAGGCCAGCTCCCCACACGCTCCTAATGACGGTCCATGCCTCTGCACGTCGGCCTATACCATTCCCCGGAACTACTCATCCATCGAAGCCCTTCCCCCATGTCCTCAGCACCCAAAGGCAGCATTTGCCTTCCCAGGTCTGCTTGCTTCCTTGGATCCAGCTACCTCTCTGGCACTTCCCACAGGTGGGGACCTGCTTCCAGAGAGCAGGGGCCAGGTCTAATTCAGTGGTGTATCTCCAACCCCCCAGCACAGTGTCTCTTATAAAGGAGGGTTTAGCATGGAGCAGCGGCATAAATCGCTCACAGTAGAGGGTCACTCAGGGAGAGTCAGGGAGCGGGGCATGTGGGTTATTGGGGAAAGGTGGGCTGAAACTTGGGACATCCATCCTGGAGACCTGGAAGCTAGACACCCTTCGCAGGCTGGAGAGTGGGTCAGCTGAGGAAGTTGTGAGCCAGGCTTGGGAAGGTGCCCAGATTCTCCTAAATTTCACCTTGCTGGGGTTCTCTTGCTGACCAAGGCTTAACTTCCATCAGACATTTCAGATACTGACTTGAGGAAGCCAATTCTTTATTTGCCTCATGTGCTCACCTATGAAATGAGCATAATAAAGCTCCTCCTCCACCTCCAAAGGGGCCCTGGTGGTCTCGTGGGTTAGTCTTTGGTCTGTGAACCAGAAAGTCAGCAGTTTGAACCCACCAGCCTCTCCGTGGGAGAAAGATATAAGGCTTTCTGCTCCCGTGGGGAGTTACAGCCTCAGAAACCCGCAGGGGCCATTCTACCGACTATGAGTCAGGATCAGCCCAATGGCAAGGAGTGTGGTTTTGAGTTTTTCCCCCTCCAGAAGGTTCTTGGGAAAACAAACAGGTAGGTATATACGAAGAAGAAAAACCACTTTTTATGTCTACACATGCATGGATCATTTCTTTTACAAGGACCAGATGGTCCCGACGAGGCAGAGGCTAGAGATGCCCCTGAGGTCCAGCTCTTTCAAACAGCTGTACCACCCATCATCTCGAAATACTCTTCCCTAGAAGGGTCTCTCCCATCCCAGGTTCCAGAACTCACTGCAACATCACAGAGCTGTCTCGCCCTCAAGGAAACAGCTCCTGTGCTTGTGGAGGTTGGCAAGTCCACATCTGGGGGGCAGACCCCTGTCTGGAGGCTTCATCTCATTCACAGTGCATGTGTACAGGATATAGCTTGCTCCCTGTCCCCAAATGCTAGACAAATGACTAAATAAAACTGGGGAACGTATTGAGCCAAACAATATCCGTATTTCCGATGCTTTCTGAAAGCTGGAAAAGAAACACTGAGTTCCTGCCATATGCTAAACTCCAACCAAGCCAGCTGCCCGTGTACAGTTGACATACTCTTAGCCACCCACGTGTAGTGTTGTCAACGGCTGTTCTTCTTCCAGAAGCCAACCACCAGGCCCTTCTTGGATGACACCACCAGAGGACTCAACCTGGGGACTTTTTAATGTGCAACCTGGGGCCTGCACATTAAGCAACTATGACAGGGACTCTGGCCACATTCTAGACCCTTTCATATTCTCTCGTTGATGTCAATGTTCAATAAAACTTTGTAACATGGTTGTGATTACCACCATTTGTACTGATGCCCGGGCCGGCTCAGAGCAGTTGATTAACTTGTCTCAGGTCACACAGCTAGTAGGTGACAGAACTGGAGCCCCGCTCAGGCTGACTCCCTGTTTCACTCTTGCTACCTTATGCGCCATCCTAATCTCCCAATCGGGAGCCATGGTGGTGCTGTGAGCAGGGCATTGGGCTACTAGCCACAGAGTTGATGGTTCAAACCCACCAGTAACTCCACGAAGGAAAGGTGAGTCTTTCTGACCCTGTCAAGATCTATGATCTTGGAAAACCCATGTAGGTCCCCGTGAGCTGAAATCAGCTCAAGGGCAGTAGGTGGAATCTCCCAATGACTGAGCTACCAG